GTGGCCTTATGACCATGGTTTACGGGAAGATTTTCCAACTTCCTACCGACCACCTCGGCGAGTCTTCAGCTGTCACGCTCATGGGAAATGACGTGGAAACCCTGATTGAAAAACTTCACATGCTCTTGGTTGAATCCTGGGCGAATACTCTCACAGTTGGCATCGCTATGTACCTACTGGCAGCACAGCTCGGCGCTGTTTGTGTTACTCCCATTGTCACAGCAATCAGTGAGTATCTCTGTCTTTTGGTCCAATAAATTCTAACCGTGTAGTCTCCCTCCTCCTTACGGGTTCTATTGGCAAGATGATGGTCGCTCGTCAGATCAAATATCAGAAGGCCACTCAGGACCGCATTAATCTTACTTCTGAGGTTCTCGGCTCAATGAAACCAGTCAAGATGCTTGGACTGTCAGAAAGATTCAGCAGCCTCATTTCTCAGAAACGAGATGAAGAGATCAAAGCCAGTAAACATTACCGCGTGATCAATGTCTACCTGAACTGTATCAGTAAGTAGTTCTGGTCTAGAAGATATTCCTTTGCTCACCCTTTTAGCCAACTGCAACATTGGAATGACTGAAGCGATCACTTTCGGCGCATATGCCCTTGCAGCAAAGTTCGGAAACGGTGAACCATTCTCTGCGGCCCAAGCTATCACCGCATTGTCTATCTTGGGTGTCATGATGGATCCTCTATCGCATCTTCTTGGAAGTATTCCTGGATCTTTCTCAGTCTTTGGATGTTTCAGAAGAATGGAAGATTTCCTCAATTTGGAAGAGAGAATTGACCGCCGCCAAGTTAATGGCCGCTCCAAGAACACCTCGAGATCATCTGCTGAAAGCTCGCAACCCTTCCAAGAAACCATCGAGGCAACTCCGCTGAAAGCCATCCCTGTCAGAGCCGATGGAACCCGAATAGTCATAGAGGATGGCAACTTTCACTGGGGTGAGAAGGCTGTTCTTCAAGATATCAACACAACTTTCCCGAGTCACAAGAATGGGTCGCTTACCATGCTTGTCGGTCCCGTTGGTTCTGGTAAATCGAGTCTGCTGAAGGCTATTCTAGGCGAAACTACGTCTTCTATGGGTAATGTGTTTCTGAACACATCAGAAGTCGCATTTTGCGACCAGACCCCCTGGGTTATGAATGCGACAATCCGTTCTAATATCATCGCAGAGTCCAAGGGATACGACAGCGCCTGGCTTGAGACAGTCATCGATGCCTGCGACCTGACCATCGACTTGGGACGGCTTCCTGAAGGAGACCTTACCCAGGTTGGCGAGCAAGGAGTCAAGTTGAGCGGTGGACAGAAGCAACGAATTGCTATAGCTCGTGCTCTATACTCCAGGAAGCCTGTGGCCATATTTGATGATGTGTTTAGTGGACTCGACAAGGTGACTGAGCAGATCATCTTTACGCGTGTCTTTGGAAAGGATGGCCTTCTTCGAAAGAACGGCACTACTGTTATTTTGGCTACACATGCAGGTACTTTGTCACTGATGAATCATGCTTCAGTCTTTTGACATCCTTTTAGTTAATAGACTCCCCGAGTCTGACTTTGTTGTCGTCCTTGAAAGGGGCGGGAGACTTGTTGAGCAGGGAACTTACCATGAGCTGCGATCCGGAAATGGCTATATACACGATCTTGACATTTCGAGCCACGACGATCACGATGACCAACCTTCTGCCAAGACCAAACCTGGAGAGGAAAGCGACAAGACCGACAACAAAGGCGCGGTTGAAGATGAACCGACCGAAGTGCCGAGTGACCGAAGCGTGTTTATGTACTACTTTAAAGCTAATGGAATACACAACATGCTCACCCAGATACTTCTTATCGCCAGTGCAGGGGTTATCACATCCTTTCGATGTAAGTTTTCTATTCAAAAAGTCTACACACTTCTAACATTTGTCAGATATTTGGGTTACTTGGTGGGGTGATGGGAAAGGTCGTGACAGCAGAGATATTGGCTACTGGCTCAGCATATACACCGTCCTATCTGCTTTCGAGGGCATTCTTATTACGCTTGCCATTGCGTGGGTGAAGCTAACTGTGAAAAATGATACCTTTGCTAACAAGAACTCAGGATGTTTCTTTTGGTTTGCGCACCCGTTAGTGGAAAACTGCTTCATTCACGACTCTTGAACGCTGCTATGGGCGCACCTCTATCCTTCCTTCACAACAGTGCGGCGGGATCTCTGATCAATAGATTCAGTCAAGATTTGCGCCATGTTGACATTATTCTCCCTATGGCGTTTTCCATCTTCCTCTTTGGTGAGATATATCTATACATCGTGGTTGATGTAAGCTAATATCCATTATAGAGGTTGCTGCATGCTTCGGTGCTGCTGGTCTTGCTATGGCAGCTGTCAGCTGGTTTGCCATCTCGATTCCATTTGTTATCGTTGTGCTTGCCCTCATCCAGCGTTTCTACGTCCGAACATCCAAACAACTCCGCCTTCTGGAGTAAGATAAGCATGATCTTGGCTTGTTGAAATCTGCTGACTCACAGTCTAGAATCGAACACAAGGCGCCGCTGTTCTCACATTTCCTTGAGACTATCGACGGACTCGCCACAATTCGAGCCTTTGGCTGGATTCAGCCGTATACTGACAAGGCGCTGAGTCGAATTGACGATGCCCAGAAACCAGCTTATCTTCTCAACTGTATTCAACGATGGCTGACTCTGGTTCTCGATATGGTGGTAGCATTCTTAACGGTAATTCTTGTTGTTTTTGCTGTGACCCTCCGCGAGAAGATTGACCCCTCGCTATTGGGTATCGCACTGGTCAACATGATGCGGCTTGGCACCAACATGAAGGGCATAATTTTGAATTGGTCCCTCCTTGAGACATCACTTGGAGCTATTGCGCGCATTCGCATGTTCTGTTCTTCTGCGCCAAACGAACAAAAGTCAACCGAAGACAATGATCCAGGGGAGTTGTGGCCGAGACAAGGCAGTCTTGAAGTCAAGAATCTGGATGTTCAATATCAGTAAGTGGTATCTAAATCAACAAATGCTTTGTCCAATGTGCTGACTCTATAGGCAAACTACTGAACCTGTGCTGCGTGGGCTTTCGTTTAGCATCAGACCCGGACAAAAGCTTGGTCTTTGCGGTCGAAGTGGAAGTGGGAAGAGTTCTTTCGTCCAAGCCCTTCTTCGCATGGCAGAGATCGTCAATGGCCAGATCACTCTTGATGGGCAAGATATTTCGACGGTACCTAGATACCTGATCCGCCAGCGTCTGAGCTGTTTGACGCAGGATCCATTTGTCTTTGGCGATACCATGCGAACCAATCTTGACCCATGCAATACGGCGTCAGATGATGAGATCAAAAGCGCCCTCGAGCGAGTTGGTATCTGGTCTGTCATTGAAGCCAAGATCGGCGACAACAAGGATCCCCTTGATGAGAAGATGGACGAGAACTTTTTGTCCCATGGTCAGCGCCAGCTTTTTTGTCTTGCAAGAGCCTTGTTGAAGAGAAGTTCACTGCTCATTCTTGATGAGCCGACAAGCAGGTAAGTCATATCATCAACCTTGAACTTTTCTTGCTTCTGACACCGTTTGCAGCGTCGATACACAAACAGACGCAAGGATGCAAGAGGTCATCCGTACCGAGTTCTCTGACTGTACGATTATCATGATCGCTCATCGCATTGATACACTGCTCGACTTTGACAAAGTTGCCGTATTGGACAGGGGTTCTTTGGTTGAATTTGGAGCTCCTCAGGAGTTGTTGAAAGACGAGGCTGGTGTATTTGCAAGATTGTACCGGGCGAATAAGGGGAGGAAGACTGAGGAGCAGTGAGTGTGTGACGCGTCTGGGGCCGGATTGTTTTCCTCGTAGCACTTCAGTCGTGATTCATAGCCTGCTGCTGTAATCAATAATGTTTCGCGTCGGTGATTCTACTGATTGAAGACGAACGATATAACTGAATCTCTGTCAAGGACATACACCAGCGAATCACGACCTCTAGTGAAGAGACACGAAGAGCAGTATAAGTTCATTCCCTCCCAACCATTCTGCCCTTTACTATTCTATCGCACTATCAACTCAATCTCTCAACTGCAATCACTAAGCCGACTATAAAAATGTGTCAAGGGGTCATCTTTTGGGCACGGTGCCCTGTCTGCCGTATTCGACACGAAGTCTCGCGAGCGTACCGCCCCATGTGCGAAGAAGCTGAGAACACAGACCTATGTACCTACGGCGCTTGTGTTTTGGGCGTCGACTGGGTATTCCGACAAATCAGTTCAACTGGATGGGGCTGGGATCGATATTGCAGAGAGTGTAGGCCTCGGCGTAGACACATCTCACGTCTGAATAGGAGGCTCGACAGAACTGGAAGAGGGGTGAGGGTTCATAGAGTCATATATGCGCCACCTGGGTTGAGTAGACATAGTAACGAGGATCTGGAGATGAGGCTGGAAGAGCAGTGAGAAACTATCCGGTCGATAGGCTAGAGTGGCTTGTTCCAGACAGGGTTGATCAGGGGCTAGTTTTGGATAGTGGCAACTGGGCAACATCTCCAAAATATGACATGTCTGTTGCAAATTTCAATTCACAAATTATATGATGGTGTTGTTCTAGAGTTACGCGGTATCATCACGATATGTTCCGGTATTATTCGTCCCTTACGTTCTTTTCGTGATAGATCACAGGGCGTCTCATATTCCTGTTCCTACGCTGCCACTGTTCTTTGTCTATACAATCGGTTGTGAGTCACGGGCACCTCGTAACAGATGTGAACAAAGGATTTATTCGCATTATGAGACAAAATTGTTCGTTTAGCTTTTGAACTTTCACTCTCTTGGACTACTGAATATGAGGTTGCTCCCTCTCCCGTCAGTGACTGTTGCTATTGCTATATATTCATCCTCAAAGCCGTAATCATTTCAACCACTTTCACAAACCCGCAGACCGCAGTCAACAATTGACAAAGAAACGACCTGAGACCTTTTATCAAAACTCCATCAATTCTTTTCATCAACCAACAATCATGTGCGTAATCGAGATCTGGTGTCGCAAGTGCACCGTCTGCCAACATGTCGATGAGGTCGAATACTCCAACCATAAGGATGGCTATGGATCCTGCACTGTAGTTCGCACTACGTTGCCTGAGCAGTCTCTCCAAGGTGCAAACGAAAACTACCGTTGCCGGGGCTGTCGATCCAGACAGGCTTATGAGAGCCATCAACTCAACAAACAAATCATGGAGGCTCGCGGGGACAACAAGTATGGGTATACAAGGTAAGCAAGTTTCCTAATAGAAAATCATGATAGGAAAGTAGATCATGTGCTGATATTGCCTTTTGGTGTATCATCACGGACATAGTATCACTCCAATACTGTATCACAAGTTGCCTTTGAACATTGCTAATTCCTCCATTGTGCAATGACTGAGAATAACTCTAGAGATTTCCAGTGACTTACAGGCCAAATGCAACCTTGATTCACTGTCCCCAGAAGCAAACAGATTCATTAGGGCCGCGCGTCAAGGCCGTTTGTTCTCTGAACGACCTCCCCATCTCGTCTCTTCTCCAACCTTATGAATACCTCTTTATCTCCTATTCCCTTTTCCTCTCTCAAAGATAACTTATACCCCCAATTTCTATTTTCTATAGATATTATCAACCTGTCTATTTCTCGCGAGATCTCTCTTTCGGATCTTCCAAACTATCTACCTATACACCAACATGTGCCAAACGCTCGTCTTGTACAGAACCTGCGCGCATTGCGATAGTCAATTTCGCCTCTAGGAGACGGTGAAGTTGCTCCCAGATTGCGACGACTGCGGCATCTTTGGACGAGGTGCTTGCAACGACGGTGTTACTCTGGCGCTAGAGCCTCATGCCGATGACCCTTTTCGCACGTTTATCTGCAATGACTGCGGGTTTTATAGACGGCGTCACCAAGCAATTCTATGGTTCTCACGCATGAGGCTGTGGCCTTAGATGAGGAGTTTGCATGGTTGACTTCCAATCCATTTGTGTGGAAGACTCTCGACCAAGCAATATTTTCATATGCGAACATCTCAACACTCAGGGAGTTACAAGATAAGGGCTGTGCCCGAGAGCATCTCAAACCTGATTCCCCCAATTAAATACTGACTAATTGGAGGCCTGTAATAGTCTTGCACCTACATAAGGTAAGACAAGGCAACTCATAAGCTTCTCATGTGCTGGTAGCTGACTCCATTCAAGGGTTCTTCACCTTCTTTGAAAAGACGCATATATCACAAGAATTTAATCAAGGACATATATCCCAGGATAGGATGATCCAGCTGTCGTATCAAGACCGAAGTTCTTATTGTCACTTGAGAGACTGGTTGGGGGTGTCAACTCAACTGGCCGGACTGGTCATGGATAGAGGCCATACGAAATAGAACACTAACATAGAAATAGAGCCCCTTTTACCGAGGTTTCTAATGGGGGGGTTTTTTTTTTCAGAGTGAACCACGATCAATAATTCCTGAGCATATGCTCATTCTGCTTAGTATGTATCTCCTTACACGAAACGAGCCATATACGATATAGTCGCACACAATGTGACCATGTATGTCAGGGTCAAATGGAGTCTACTCTTTGAAACTACCATAGACCTTTGTAACTATTGTCACTTCCGTAATCCAATAAGAAAACAATGGCCCAAGTTAGCAATGAGGCATTTCATCCTTGCACCTTTTTTCAAGGTGGTTTCGAGTTATACAACCAGTCAACCTGGTCACTTCCTGTCAATTGCCTCATCTTTCGGGGAGCTATTGTACGGCTCTTGTTTTAATTAATTTTTTTATCAAATTGTTGACGGTATTTTATGGACCAACTTTATCTGCCACATTTCGTCCGAGAGTAATATACTAGTTCATGTAGTAGAGTTAGTCAAAGATTGTGTCGATAACAATGTGAAATGAGCCTGCTCAGAATCTGCCCTTGAAGTATTGCATGAACTATATCACTCTCTAGGCAGCATGCGGGACATTACGCCAGAGAAAGGTCAAAAATGCAATAATTCATAAGTTCTATGATATTTCCAACAATTGTATGATGGCAATGCTATACAAAACGCGGATGAACGCCTTCAATGATTAATATACAGCTGGCAACTGGCCAATTATGAAGCAACTCCCTAGCAGCAATGTTTACCCCCTTCCGCCCACGTATTTTTCCTTCTCTTACTCCTCATTTCTGCCCCGCATTATCGTAACATATAAGAGAGATCCGGTAGATCTCGAAGAATATTGGCGACGATCTCGTCGTCTTTAAAGGACTCAACAACTGTTTTTGGTCGCGGAGGGACAGGTAGTGATACCGGCCGGGGCTTTTTAGGAGAGGCCATGTCTTTGAATGTGTCAACTGGCGTCGGAGCTTGTAGCTGTTGGCTTGCAAACATCCCATCTTCCTTTGGCCCAACTGGCTTGTTGGAATCATCGAGCAAACCTAAGCCCCATGAATCCCAATCATTGACCTTGTTTGCTTGCTCGATTGGTGTTTTGGCTTTGTTTGATATCAGGTTTGCGGATGCAAGACTTGCCAAGGGTGACCAAGGTGTTCCCAAGTCAAGTGTTGTGGATCTTGAATGATTGGGGATCAAGCTCTTCACAGGGGCGGTGGTCAAATCGACAGTAGTCGACCGAGAGTGGCTCGAAGCTATGCCTTGCAGCGCTGAAATGTTCCAGGGGTCAGTGGGCGATTGAGCGTGGCTAAAAGAGCTTTGAGGAGGCAAATGCAGAGCATCCGGGGAAGGTCGGCCGTCTGTCACTATTTCGGCTTGCGTTGCACCCTGGACTATGTCATCCAACGGACTTTGAGCTGTAATTGAGGGCTGACTGGTATTGTCTTTGATGTCATTCGAGCTGGAATCTACAATCGCATCCATGGAAGTAAACCCGCCATTTGTTTCGGCTGTGGGCGATGAAACCATGTCGCCCCAATCGTCATCATCATCGTCATCTTCGCCCCAGCCTGCGTTTGTTGGAGGTTGTGCTAGAGGGGATGTCGGTGCTTGCGATACCGATACCGGTCGTTTTGTTGACAGAAACGAAGGAGGATTAAGTGGAGACTGTGGTTCCAAGATCGTAGGTGATGCTGGGAAATTTAAAGGTTGCGTTATAGAGATAGGCCGGTTTGTAGGTTTCAATGGTATAGGCTTGATAGGAGAAGGGGGCTCCTCGGTGATACATGGCCTTGGAGGAGATGCCAAAGGAGGCGCTTTTGTCTTTGACACGGGGGATGTTTTCGTGGCATCAACGGGCGACGTTTCAACAGATGACCTCGGCTCACTCGTGGTCGAAGTGCGAGGTGCAGAAGAGGCTGCAGCAACAGTTGGCGAAGGAATGGGGTTGCTACCCCATCCAAACGCTGCAGCTGTAGGCGACGCGACAGTCCCTTTGGAAGCTGCTGAAGCATGTCTCGAATGATTCTTTCTCGCCAAAAGTTCAGAGATTGAGATCTCGGTGGATGGCGCCGATGAATCCCAGTTGAAGATCTTTGCACCAGCGGCACCACCTCTTCGGCCGAGAACAACACGGCCCGTGATCGAGTCTTCCTCCATCCATCGCCTAACAATTCTGATTGCCTGTTCACGCACCTGGGAGTTTCCCCAACCAACGCGAACATAGTTCTCGTCGTCTCCCAAGTTGTGCTTCCGTATCGAACCAGGTCTCGACATAAGATACCATGCTTTGCGCTCTGAGATGGAAGTGAAGCTATCGTCGATAATGACATCAGGAATCGGCTCCGGGGATGGGAAGCTCGTTTCGACTGACGGTAAGATGCTATCAAGCTTTGTCATGTCAATTACGAATGGTTCCGGCGGTGCTTTTGGCGGAGCTGGTGCTGGCTCTTTGGGTGTCTCGTCATGGCTCGCCGTGTCAGTCGTTATTGCAGCTGGCTGTTCTTTGTCAATTTCAACTTCAGATTGTTTAGCCTCGTCTTGCTGTGCCTCCTTCATTGGTGATTCGAAATCCGACCATGAGTCTGAGTCTGTCTGCACTTGGTCTTCGTCCTTGGGTGACTCTGCAATTCCATTCTCCACCACATTCTCGTCTTGGTCTAGGGTTTCGTCAGACACGATCTCAACTTTCGCGTCTGGCTCGGATTGAAGTTTCGATTTTTCTTCCACTTCCTCTTCTGGTCCAATTTCAAGTTTCTCATTCGGCTCCTCCTTCGATTCCCTGTCAACCTCGACCTTCACCTGTATATCATCTTCAATCCCATCTGGTTCGTCGATTTTCATGTCAACCGTGACATCCTGCACCAACGCATTATCCGACACCTTCCGCATGGATGTATCAATAGGCGAAGCACTATGGCTGCTTTTTGCCATATCATCGTACATCTCCACCAACTCAGAAACCTTATTGGAAGGTTGTCGCGAAGCAGGCGGTCTTGTTGCACGCTGCAAAGCCGGTCTAGGTACTTCGCTCGGTGACTCCGGTCTACCTTCATCTTCGGTCGGTAAAGGACTTAAGCTCCTATTCGAGAGCGCTGGGTCTGGTTGCTGCCAGATATCTGCTGCGTTCTCTTTAAGTGACCGCGCAGGTGATGGTGTCCTTGTCGCAATACGCCCTAAAATCGGTCGCAGTCCTTCGCCGAGACTGATTGCTGAATCTCCGTTATCCTCCTTTCGTAGTCGTGCCGTATTAAACGTTGGCGAGTGTCCCCATGGATCCGGGGTCGGCGATGGTAACCTCGAACCAGATGGACTACCCCCTATAGGGCGCAAGCCAGGACTTCTGCCCCAACGTGGGCTACTGTCTTTACCCGCCTCGGCCCATCCGCCCCACGCATCATCATCTTCGTTCCATGGCGTATGAGCAGGCGAAACGCGCTGTGAACTGCCCGAGTGGTCTGCAGTGAAGTGCGCATGTGGCGGCGGCGTGGGAAGGTCTATCTTCGGTGGCTCGTCGTTGGTCCAAGGGGAACCCCAGGGATCCTCCATGCTGGGCGAGCGCACATGTCGCGCTGCCGATGACAGGAGAGTAGAAAGAGAGGAGTAATTCGAGCGAGTGATGTTATGATGATCGATTTATCATTGCGCGCGGTCGAAGGAATGTGCTGAGGTAGCTCAGAAGCTTAGAGGTCCAAGGCGCAAGAGGCAAGCTTTCGTAATCGTCTTCAAGATAGAGGCAATGGAAAAGATGGTTCAATGATTGAGCGCCACGAACCGAATGTATACAGATACGGTTTGACTCGTGGCTTAGAAATCGGCACGAGGCGCTGAGCTTAACGAGATGTAGAATAAATCGTCGAGTTGTTTTGGTTTGGAGGAATGAGGAACAGTTCCAGAAACACGTCCACTATTATTCGTGGATCCTGAATCTTCAGGGGGGCGCGGTCCCCCCAGGTCTCTAATTTGGCCCCGCAAGCTTCCGCCATCACCACCAGGAGCTCAGACAGAAATGAGACTCTTATTGCTTTGAATCCCCAAAACAGTCACTAGCTTTAACACAATGCTAGATTGGTAATTTATTCACCAACTCAAATAGTATGAGGGTATCTACTCCATGTCTATCGCATGCAATGTCAGATACCTCGACATCGTCCTGATGCTTTGCTGTAAATTGTACATCAACCTCCTTTTTTCCATCCCAATCAATTCCATGAAGCAATCCCAAGCAGACCTGTCACTCCGACGCTAATATGCAGCCAAAAATTATCATGTCGTTCCGATTCTCCCGGTCAATACTCATGAGGCAATCTCATGTCCACTCTTCAGCGCCCACTCCTTGGAGCGTCCTTTACCGATCTTCTCTGCCACC